TGCGAGAAAAATATTATTATTGACTTTATTGGTGATAAAGTCTTGGGATCACACCTCCATTTTACAACTTCAGATTTGAAAAAAATTCTTAGACGTTTTAATAGTACCATTCAAGCTCAAAAGCTTATTGTTATGAATGAGACTAAAATGTCTAGTAGGGAATAACATAGATTTAACGGGCATCTCAAATCACTTATAACAGAATGAATGGTGACTATAGAGCATAAGGGTCTTAAAACTATACAAATAAATAATTATGCTGGGTATATGGTTACAAGCAATCAGGATGCTCCACTCAAAATAGATATAGGTGATTCTCGTATAGTCTGTTTTGATATCTCTGCATGCTGTAGAGGTAATATAGTATATTTTGACCGGCTAGGAGAAATATTAGACCATCCTGATGCATCAGGAATAGTAATGTCATACCTTCTTAGCTGTAACTTAAGAAATTGGAGTCCAGAAAAAATTTCTGTAACTAAAATAAAGATAGAAACGATGTGAGAACAACTTCCTAATCCTATTTGATTTATAATTGATTATATTTCATCTTGGCCTGAAAACTGTATTAGTAGGTTTAGTTGTGAAAAAGTATACCAGGATTATCTAGAATAGCGTAGATGTAAATGGGAAAAGCCATTAACTAGTAAGATTGCTGGAAAGAAATTTTCACTAATTAGTATTGATCAGACACATTCACGAGATAATGAAGTAAGAGTGGCTTATACAAAAGAAACTGAAATCAGATGCGCAGTTAATGAGTCCTATTATCTCTCCAGTAACTGCTTAGAAGAATTATTAGGCGAATTAATTAATCGCATTAACTGAATTATGCGAATTTGTATATAAACATATTTCTTTTTTTGAATCACGTAAATGGCTTAGATATTATGCGCAATAAGTACGTCACATGTTCTATAAAATTATTTTTCGATAACAAACCCATAATTAAAATGTTAAAGCGCTCACTATAGCAGTACAATGGACACACTAAAGGGTCCAAAAGAATTAAATAAACCTTATTTCACTTTGGAATCTAATCTTGAGCCGTCTGATCTTATTCAAACTTCTAAACGTCTTTTGAGCGGTTTAAGTCCTAAATTAAAACAATCATTTCGTCTAGTAGTTTTCTTTAAAGAAAAAGTATATTTTCAGCTTTGTCTTGATACCTCATTATAGTTTAATATTTATCTTCGTACTATACCTGATTTTGCTGAAGCTGTTAAAATTGCGAGAGAATATGTTACAACTACATGCCTTAATGTTTCACCTGAGAATAAAGCCTCATTTATTATAGATTATAAAGGAACAGAAAAAGGCAAAGCATTTAATCTTTGTCTATACTTTTCTAACTATAAATTTACTAAAGAAGAGTGCAGTAAGTATGAAGATAAAAAAAATATTTATTCTACCAATAGTGCTTATTTAACTGAGTCTTACCAACTTAATATTGATTTTATAGGTCAGGGAGATCATCCCGATATTGTTTGCAAAGCAGATGTGGTAACTAGAAATGGAAGAAAAGTTAAATGCAATTTTTATTTTGCCACAAAACTTGTCGTGAATGAACTAAGTGATGATGAGTATGTTGTATTGCTAAGAAGAGAGCTCTTTTGAGAGTTATTGCTAATTCCATGTCCTAATGATAATAAAAGTGTTAACTACAGACATTATAATAATGAAGCTTTAGTACAGAAAGAGGAATTTTGAAAAGATTTGTTGAGTAAATAAGAAAGTTTAAACTTTAATTCTATAGCAATTCACTATGAAGCATGGGAAACTAGACAGTCACAGAATAAATATACACAAGAGTGTCACATGCATATTTATTTGTATTTTATTTCAAAGGCTTGAAATGAAATGAAGGAAAAAGTGAAGAAAAAAGTGAAGAAAAAAGTGGAGGAAAAGTAAAGGAAAAAGTAAAGAAAAAAGGGAAGGAAAAAGTGAAGGAGAAAATAGAAGAAAATGCAGATATTTTATTGAAATTTGATGCTAGGGATCACCCTAAACCAAATTATTTACTTTAGGATTGTGACGAGTTGGAAGAGAAAAGATTACAACCAGCAGAACATCTGCTTATGCTGGATGCAATGACTAATCTAATGTTGAAAATTGATGAAAATAACAAGAATTTCATTGAAAAATCAATGAAAATAACAAGAATCTCATTGAAACAATGAATAAAAATATTGTATTACTTATAGAAGCAATAAAAGGTATAGGAATATCAGGTAAATCCAAGGAAAGTTCTGATAGTGATATTACTGATAAATAGCGCTAAGTTTAATAGAATCATTTTGCATCATATAACAATCGCATTTCATGTAATCGAACTTTTATTTTGTATTAGTTGCTGTTCCTAGCAATAATTAATTTAATGAAATAAAGCATTATGTATTGGGCTTGATTTACATATATAGAGTTAGTTTTGTATATTTGTTAATTTCACACGCAATGATGCAATGTCATGAATATTAGTTGTTAAGGGATTTTGTATTTGCATACTAACAGATTTTCTTACAACAAACAGAACTCAATGATGCGCAATATTATTCAGGAAAATTATTGTTAAGATGTAGCATCCTTGTAGGCGTGTAATGTATCATATATTCTTGAACTTTTGTAATATGATAATAATAAAAAAGACCCCTCCAATATGGGTAATATTTAGGAATTCGCTTTGACCGATACTCATGATATTATCACAAATATTTTATTTCAATTTTGATCTACTACAAGGTCTATTTCTTTTTTCAAATTTACATGGGTAGCTTAGCTGAGCATATATCATGCATAGTAATAAACACGTTATTACTATACTTCTCCGCAATGAATAAGGGCATGATTACCTGAACGATAAATTTATTATATATTTCGGCAGTGCTCCTATTTTTAGATGCAGATATATTATTTTTGTAATAATGGTTTATATATGCTATTTTTGTAACAATGAAGCCAAAGCCAAGATCTCATGAAATACTATTATATTTTTGGAAAAGAAGATTGTGGGTTTAGAAGGTTCTTTTAGAACTGGGATCAATAAATAATTAATCTGGTGATGATGTTTGACTTTTTTTTCCAGAAGGTTCTGGACTTATAGTGTAATATGCATATTACAAATCTTTGAATTAGTATTATTAAGCAAGTCAATCTAATATTCCTGGTATTAGAATGGGACAAGAATGAAAATTGCGTCTCTTAATCTACCGATTTACATTTCTCGATCTTATGAAATGTAATAGAAGACCAGAAGTATGATCAGAGGCTTAAACAACATGTAATTACGCAAAAAACACATGTAATCTTTCAGATCTTGTGTGATCTTAATGATAAACAGTATATTTCTTAATAACAGCCTCATCTTTATTACTTTATTAATATTAAATTACAGCATATCAATTTGTCATTTATCAGATTTTATTTAAGCAATATTATTAAATACGTCTTAAATTCAGAAAGGAAAATTTGTTATTATTAAACAGGGTTGAGATTCAGGCTGTTATAATTGTTTTAGCTGAAAAAATATAATTATGAGTTATGACAAATACACATAATAAAGCAACGTAATTTTTATTAAATTAGGTTAAATTCTCTTTTCACATATAATAAGCAAACAGTATAAAATAAACCTTTTTCCTAGCGTATTTATGCAAAAGAATTGTATATTATAAAAAGATCAATCATTACTATCTAAAAAACAGATTTGATCTACCAATAAACTCTTAATAAAATTACTACGCATCACTCTATCCAGTTTGACATTATTCAATTCTTCAGGAAGTATGCTATTTTTGGTCTTATCTGCTGTTTTTTCGTTCATTATTTTGGCGATATTCATAGGAATCGTTGCCATGTGAATGATTCTCAAACAAAAAATCTCTGATGAACTCTCCACTCGTGATATAAAAATTAATACATCTATTACTGCAGAGATTACTAAAATCAAGAATGAAATTAATACTAAAATCGTGGATGATCTCTCTTCACGTGATGGAAGTATTACTGTGAAAATTGAAAGAATCCTTAATGATGTATACAAAAAACTTAGTGCAGAAGTTAACACTAGAATCACCAATGAACTTTCTGCACGCCTTTCTGAAGTTAATTTTTCTTTCATTGCAGAGCTTGTGAGAAACAATAATAAACTTAATAAGAAACTTACTGGAGAAATCGCTAAAATCAATTTACGTGATGCTGGCTACTTTTCTGAGGCACAGAGAATTTTATCGATGATCAACAATATTGAAGAAGACTGCCATAATGAATTCAATTCAGTCAGGACCTCTATTGAAGCTCTCTGAAATGAAATGATCTAACATTATGCAATTACCTAAAGATTTCAGGTTGAATTTAATCAGTTGAATGAGAACCAATCTGAGGCTTCAAACTGATTACGTGAAAGCTCATCATCAGATTTATCTCTCAAAGAAAATAGAAACTGTTTTAAGCGTGTTTTTAATTCGGAAAAGAAAGTGGGGGATATTATAGATTATTCAATTGAAACCATAAGACGTGAAGTTCGTAATCTTACTAGGGATAGAATTAAAAAGAGTACTGTGAAAAACTTTTATTATAGTAAAGGGAATCCAAAATTTAGCACGGTGATGTCAATTATGAGATGGTAGAAAGTAAAGAAGTTGCTAATAGTGTAGATAATAATAATGCGAGTAGCGCAAATAATAATAAAAATAATATAGGGTAGTGAGAAAAAACTGTCATATTTGGCTTAGGGGCCAGTGTGATTCCTTTCTTTAAATGTGATCTACTCCAATATCTTTTATTAGTTTTATTTTTTTACTTAGCCGGCCGGCCCTTTCTCATGTATTACTTTACAAAATTATAATAAAGATTTTACTTTGAGTTTTTTAAACGTATTTCGTAATTTTACAAGTGATATTTATTAATTACATTTGCTTATTAATATAGCTATAATTGTAAAAAAACAGCTAGATTATTAAAATGCTATAAGTGCTATACAATACTAATAATATCATATTTCTTATTATTCTTTCAAGCTCTTTTCTTTCTCACCGTAATTAATAGTAACATTAATTATATTTGCATTTTAGGAAAAAGAGGGAGTATTAGAGTGATAGGTCTAGAGATTATAGGAGTCTTAGTAGAAGGTGTTACAGGTCTTGATTATTTAGTTTGTTTATGTGAGAAGGAAGAAGTATCAGATCCAGTTTCGAGAAGACCAGGTGTATTAGATGGCGTTATAGAATGACATGCTCCTAGAAACAATAAAAATTTTAGGGGTATATCTTTTTCATATACACGAGAGTATAATAAAAATAAATACCAGGTTCTTTTCAAAATTCTGTTGAGAACTCTTCATAATAATATTCTCCAACAAAACTTCTCTTCTTTTTAACTCCTACCTCAGCTTCTTTATAGGCCTTAGCCGTCTACATATACTAAAGATATCAGTCATTGTCTAATAAAGTCACTGCGTGTGTATCAACATTAGCTCTATCACATAGTTTATTATCATTCCTTTACTATGACTTTTCTACATCCTATTATGAAATGTGAAACTATAGAAACGCTACTCTTAACAAATGAAAAATTGCTAATAACATTAAAGAAGACTACACTATCACTTGTATTTCATTTGGTTTTCCACATTCCTCTCCTCTACCCTCTATCTCAAATTCCAATTCCTTTATAGCGGCTACCGCCTATGGCTCCTACTGGTCAAATTTTTGGAATGGCAGTAACTACGCCTTCCCTTCCGAATGTTTGATAACTGTACAATAGTCTAGTCTTTTTAAGTTTTCTTTTCTTTTCTTTTCTGTTTATAGTTTAGTTCGGTAAAGTGCAAGGTTGATATTGATAAAGTAGTCTAGTTTATAAATTAATTTATAGATATTTTTGTATTTTCTGTTTTATTATATATACCTAGTATTTTATAAATTTAATAAAAATTATGCAAAACTGCCGCACTTCAAAAAAAAAAAATTATATTAGGTTATTACCTCAGCTGAGACATAAAACTAGATGATTTTCATAAGAATTCATATGTAACTGAATATATGAGCATTTAGACTAATAAACATTAGATACTAGTCAATTGATCTGTCGATTGATATTAATCATACCTAAATATTGAGTTTGAAGAATATGTGGATGCAAATAAAATCAGGGATCAACAGAAACTTGACCTTTGCTAACAGGTCTGTAATGGATACTGTTTCACATCTTCAAATTCAGGGACCCTTACACAAGTAAGGAAGTGATTAACCAGTAATTAGTAGATTGGGTACCTTCTTCAGATAGGCTATAGTAATAATAAACTGCATTGCACACTGCAGCACTATTCAATCGAATTATTACTAGAGTTAGAAGCTGAATTCGATTTTTAAGTGAATTTGACGCTATAGATACAAAACTACCATCTATGTAAAATACCCAATCCTATGGTCTCGGTAGTCATCAATAGGTAAAACCCTATAAATTAGATTAGTAAAAATAGGGTCTGACAAGTTTTATGGTTGAAGTGAGCCCTCTATCCAAGGGTGATAATATCCAATAAGGTCTAATGAGACTTGTGACGAGGGATTAAACTGTTGCAAGTTAGTCTATACTAGGTAGCAACCGTATAGGGATATGCTTTAAGGCAGGTTGTCATATCCCTTAAAAGGGATCGAAGACTTAGAAAGGTAACCTAATGTAGGATCAAACTTGTTCTACTGAAGATATGCCCTCTGCTTACCTCTAACCACCACACATTAATAGTAAAAAAAAAATTATATCAGGTTATTCTAAGGATTAGTGATTCTGACTTAATCTGTAAGATGCAAGTTCCTATTGTAGGTTACACAGTAATAGTTACAGGTTCAGACCTCAGCTGAGACATAAAACTAGATGATTTTCATAAGAATTTCATATGTAACTGAACATATGAGTGTTTAGACTAATAAACGTTAGATACTGGTCGATCGATCTGTCGATTGACGTTAATATGCCTAAATACTGGATTTAAAGAACATGTGAATGCAAATGAAGCCAAGGATCGACAGAAACTTGGCCTTCGCTAACAGGTCTGTAATGGATACTGTCTTACGTCTTCAAATTTAGGGGCCCTTACATTAGTAAGAAAGTGGTTAACTAGTAATTAGTAGATTGGATACCTCCTTCGGGTAGGCTATGGTGAAAATAGACTACATTACATGTTGCAGTACTATCCAATTGAATTATTACTAGAGTTAGAGGCTGGGTTCGATTCTTAGGTGAATTTAACGCTATGAATACAAAATCACCATCTATGTAAAGGACCTGATCTCACAATCTCAGTAATCATTAATAGGGTAAAATCCTATAAATTAGATTGGTAAAAATAGAGCCTGACAAGCTCTATGATTGAAGTAAGCCTTCTATCCAAAGGTGATAATATCCAATAAGGTCTAGTGAGCCTTGTAATGAGAGATTAAACTATTGTAAGGTGGTCTATACTAAGTAGCAACCATACAGGAATATACTTCAAGGCGAGTTATCATATCCTTAAAAAGGATTGAAGACTTAAAGAGATAACCTAACACAGAATTAAACTTGTTTTACTGAGAATATGCCTTCTGCTTACCTCTAGCCAACGCATATTAATAGTAAAAAAAAATTATATCAGATTATTCTGTGATAGTCACAGGTTCAGACCTCAGCTGAGGCATAAAACTAGATAATTTTCATAAGAATTTCATATATAACTGAATATGTGAGCGTTTAGACTAATAAACGTTAGATACTGGTTGATCAATCTATCGATTGATGTTAATCATGCCTAAATACTGAGTTTGAAGAATATGTGAATGCAAATGAAATCAGGAATCGATAAAAACTTGGCTTTCACTGACAGATCTGTAATGGATACTGTCTTACATCTTCAAATTCAGGGGTTCTTACATAAGTAAGGAAGTGATTAATCAGTAATTAGTAGATTTGGGTTCACCACAAGGAGGCAAAAGTGTTTAAGGTAATAATTGACTGCATTACAAGCCACAGTACCTTCCAAATAAAATTATCACTAGGGTTAAAGGCTAGGTTTAATTCTCAGGTGAATTTAACACTATGGGTACAAAACTACCATCTATATAAAGGACCTGATCTCACGACCTCAGTAGTCATTAATAGGGTAAAATCCTATAAATTAGATTGGTAAAAATAGGGCCTGACAAGCTCTATGATTGAAGTGAGCTCTCTATCCAAAGGTGATGATACCCAATAAGATCTAGTGAGCTTTGTGACATAGAAATAACTTGTTACAAGGTGGTCTATACTAGATAGTAACTGTACAGAAATGTGCTTTTAAGCGAGTTGCCATACTTTTTAATCATGATCAGAGACTTTAAAAAGTTACTTAATGTGAGATAACACTTATCTTATTTAGGATATGCCTTCTACTAACTTTCTAACTGCCGCACATTAATAGTGAAAAAAAAAATTATATCAGATAATTCTTTAAGATTTGGACCTTAAAATAAATATATAATTATGATTTTAGCCCTTATAGTTAACCTATTATAAGCTTTTAAAGGTAACCAATAATAGTTACATTTCTTTGCTTACCACTATATTTGAATAATATTAGAAATCTATGATAAGCCAATTTCCAGAATGTGAATATTATATAATCAGATCTTTATATGCTAATAGAATAAGTTTAGCAAAGGCTTATATATCTTTTCAATTCAATACTAATATTTAAAATATTTAAGGAATAAAGTCATTTAATACAATTATCAAAAAGGTGATTAATAGTACCAGTTCTCTTTATGATGTAGAAAAGGTAATAGATAGAAGACATTAAGAAGAAAACTAATATTTTCAGTTAACAGATCTTAAAGCAAAATTTATAACAGTTGGTCTTCCACATCTTTTATCTCAAATTTTTTCAAGTATTGATATGATGATTGAAAACTTTCTATCTCCTCTTATTTTATTATTACAAAGATTTCAAATTTCTCAAGTATTTACATATGAAGAATAGCTGATATCACTAAATTTATTTAAGGTATATGTTTATTATTTAAAAAAAAGAATTAAAGTATATTATATATATAATATATATGATATACTTATTATTTTTTCATTTTTATTATAAAATTTTGATTTACAATTTAATACCATAGATAATAATTTTGTAAAAGATATAGTAGACAAGTTGCAGATAATACTATATGCATTATTAAATGGTATGGATAACAAGCATCACTAAATTATGGAAAGTTCATCATATAGGAGGTGTTTTCAGTAAAGAAAATCTGATTGCTCTTTTGCTGATGGGACTTATATTTATATTTGCATAGAAATGATCATAAAAGGAATAGTTTGTCATTATTTTTAGTGAGTGATGCTCTATTTAAATGCAGCACAATTTCATATTAGTATCATTCTGATAAAATGGTATAAAGATAAAATATTATTGAAGTTAAATGATACTCTTAAAAATTCACCAATACTTGCAGCAGTAAAACCATTATTTGAAATAATAACAATAATAATGAACTTTACACTTCAAAGTTTATGACAACTTCAAGAATCAAGTTATAAATAAAGTATCTAATAAATAATTTTTCAAAAATATTGATTTGAAATGGCATATTCAATAGCAAAAACTGTGATCAATATTGTATTGAAAACTGAAAGCGATAATGAATTAGTAAAATTACTAAAAGGTTTTATCTTAACTAAAGCAAAATAATCATAATGATAATAGAGCTGAATCAGAAAATAATAATATAGAAGATATTAAATATAATTGAGATAATGAGAATAATAATCTTGTTTCTTTACAGCAACATTTAATCAATCAAATGACTGATTTTTATGTTACTATGATTCAAGATACACTAAGAATGAAAAATGCTATTGAATTATCAAAAAAAATGCAATTCATGAAATTATAGCTCAAGTTAATACATAAGATAATAAAGGATTAAGATTATAATTAAAGATGGTCACCGCAATTGAAAAAAATAGCACAATTGAGTTGCAACTTGTGGCACAATTAAATTTCCTTATGACGCAATTAAGTTGCAATTCAATTGAAATTTGAAAATAATTATGGGGACCATCTTTAATTATAATGAAAATGTTTATCATATGGAAAACCTGAACATTATCAAAAGAAATGTTCTAGTAAAAGGAAAATTATAAAAGAAGATTAGATGTATATATTTAAACTATTATTTTTATTTACTATAATAGATTTAATTGCAATATAATTTAATAGACTTTTTAGTATTTATATATTACGATAGATTTAGAAGAAAATTTTTTTAAATTTTAATTATTTATTTAAAAAAATCAGACAAAATTATGAACTTTACCATCCCTTTAACAGTTATATTTTCCTTAGATAACCTTATAGATAAAAAACAAAATCTTCTTTTTAACATAAATAATACATTAGAAATTCCAATTAAAGATTTTGATAATAATTAGTAACCTTTAGTTATAAATGTTTGAACTCAATAGGATTTATGGAAACTTATCAATGGTAATTTTTAGAAGGTCTTTGCATGTTGATTTATAAAATATTAAGAGTCAAATATATGATAAAAAAAAATATTTTAAATAATAAATGAAGAAAACAATAATTTAGCCTTTAGATATTTGTTAAGCAAAAATTAAAATTATATGTCTAATTTCTTTAAAAATTGTTAGAATTGAATAATATAAAAATTCACCTAACTACACACATAATTTAAGAGATAATAATAGAATTAAATATTTATAAACTATCTAAACTTTAGTTAAAAATGAGGTAATCAAAAATTATTTACCATCAGCAATTACTGCTGCTATTAAAAAATATGTAACAGAAAAATTAAAACTTTATTCAAGTATATATGATTTAAAATGAAAAAAAGTAACAAATATAAAATATAAAATTCATGAACCTATGAAAGCCTATCTTATTAGTAATTATGATTTAAAAATAAATATTATAGAAACAGTATCTTATTTAATAAATTAAGAATATTATGTTAAAAGCTATCACATTTCCTAACAATCTACTAAAGACATAGTATTTACTCACCTTGAATAATTTAAAAAACTTTAACATTATGGTTGGCTAACATTTATTGATTCTACTCACAAAACTAATTGATATAATTGGTGACTTTTTACTTCATATATTTGCAATAACTATGAGTGTTAGGATATTGATGTACACTTTTTTATAAGTAATAAAGATGGTAATACTATTGCAGAAGTATTAATAATAATTCACAAAAAATATTATCAATAGACTTCTTGATATATTCTTTCAGAATAAAGTAGTTTTGAAGTAAAAGGTATTAAAAAGGCTTTTACTGGTCTTAGTGGTAGTGAATAAGAATGTGATATATATAATTCTTTGTACTATTCATATTATACAAATATAGATAACTAAATTTATGATAAAAAACATAAGATATTATAATTACGGCAAAGTATAAAAGAACAAAAATTAGATGTTAAAAACTTATATAAAATGCTATTAATATTTATCCTATTCCTGTTATTAAAATTATATTAAAAAAAATTATAAAAAAATACATTACAATAGGCATTATAGGTATGATAGCATTTATCTTTACTTTTACAAGTTACTTTTACAAATCCATTAGAATTTTATCATAGTAAATTAAAAAGAGAAATGTCTTTATCATATGGTCTGATTAGTAAATATATTTTATTATAGTTTCTTTATTTTTATTTTTTTACATATTTTTTAATTAATACATTTTTTTATAATAAATGCTATTCATAAATTATTACTCTTAATTTAAAAAAACAATCAGATTCTGAAAAAGTTGTCTTTAATTTTTGTATTAAGAAAATCTTAGCTTTTAACATATTCTTAAAAAAATTCGAAAGTTTCCTTATCCTCTTCAGCAATTACTTGTCAAAGAAGCTTCTGCAGTTATTGATAGACTAGAGAAAGAAAATATGCATCTAGATTAACATCTTTTGATTATTATTATTTATTTCGCAATCAATATTTATTATCATGTAAACATATTTTTTATAAATATATATATGTTAATATAAAATTATTAACCGATGAAGTTTTGGGAAAAATTTCAAAAAATGTTTGAGGAAAATGAATTTGAAATATATGAATATCATGAATTAGTAATGATTTTTGAGCAAATAGAATAATAAAAAAATAAAAAGCCAAAAACTTACTGTTAATAAGTTAACTGAAAAGATTTGTAATAAATATTGGCAGGTTGAAGAAAAAGGTAATGTTGAACAAACAGAAATATACATCAATAAATTTAATAATGTAAAGTATTATATAAATCTTATGTCTCATAATCTTACATAAGGTTACAAGCCTGTCAAAAAATTTACGTATCATAGTACTTTAATATTTTTATGATGTATAATATTTTAAAAGTTTACGATATGTAAACTTTCAAAGGTTTATGATGCGTAATATAATAAATCATAATAATTTATATGTTTACAATATATAATACTTCAATATTTTTATAATATATAATAATTTAAAATTTTATGACATATAATATTTTAAAGGTTTACGATGTTAAGCCTAAACATTATGTCGTTAGGATAACAAAGCTTATTTGCTAACAGGAAGTTTAAATGGTAAACTATGAAAGAAATAAACACGAATTTAT